TATTTTGAAAGCAGGACTTTTACTTGCAGCAGAGTATTTTTACAGTGTGGCAACTGCTGCTTTTGCTTAAGGGATTTGAGTACTTCTTCCAGCACTGGAAGCAGCACCTCCCCCTCCATCAATTCAGTTTTATCTTAGGCTGCATGTTTATACTGAGTGAGATTTAAAGTTTGGGTATCCTTCATTAGTACGCAACATACTGTGTTAGAATTTTGGCTTTTTGCCTTGTGTTTATTTGATAATGTTCTGCAGAGAAAGAGTATTTCTGAATAGTTCTAAATCTGTGATTTTATCATGCACACACTATGAGAAACACACCTGTTTCAGCACACACGTATGTATTTTGTCAATTAACCAAAGTACTGACAGCCCCTTAAAATCTGAGGAAGAAAAAAAACCACACACACACAACAATAACAATGTTTTCACTTTGTTATAATAGCCTCACTCTGAAAGTCCAAAACGCTTATGGACCTAAAAGAAATGCACAAACACATATACGCATCTGCATTCAGATTGGCATACAGTCTTCTAATCTGCCAGGGAGCAGTAGCCTCATTGCCCAACTTATCCTCATCTTCTCACATCTGCCTGTTCACACATACACCCACACATGCACAAGCACATTCAAACACAGCAACACACACACACACACACACACACAAACACTTATGCTCTCTGTCCCCCTTTGGCTGTCAGACAGTGTGCCTCTTTTATTGCCGTGTGAAATTGCTTTGGAATGAGCCTGATGGTAGGCAGAGGACAGCCACAGATGTTTGGCCACAGTAGCTGTATGTGTGCATGTGTGTACTGTGTCTATGTGTGTATGTTGTGATTAAATGTGTGCTCATTAATGTGTGTCTCTGTGTGACAGTGTGCCTTTGCCTGGCTAAGAAGCGAGCAGGGCTGGTTTAGTCCCAGTGATTAGGGAGTTTCTGTCATGTCTGACTCAAAGTGTGATCAAACTGGCCTGGTAAACACTATACACTTCTCACTGAACTTAGCAACTTAGCCATAAGACTTGTGCGCTTACAATACAAACTCCCAGGCTCTATTTTTGTGCACGCGCTATGATAGCAGAAATTGGACCTGTTATTGTTGTGTGTGTGTTTTTATTTATTTTTTTGTATTTTACTGATTGATCATGTCATGGCTCCACATGAAAGCACACATGCTAAGGTCGCCGGGCAGACACAGCTGAGGTTCTATTCCATATGAAATGTTTGTACCCATTATATCCTCATTTCTGCTGTTCAGTATCTCTTTTTTTATGCAAGTTAACACAGAACAGTTTTATGACAGACCTCTAAAATTATATACACCCCTATTTATGCACTTTAGTATCCTGTGTGATATTTAAATAATAAAATATTGATTCATGAAGGTAAGTTGTTTTGACCCCTTACACATAGAGTATTCAGCAAATTCTTGATGAGATTCCAGATGGAGCAAATATTTTTTAGTAATGCTGGGTACTCAGTATTTGTGTATTGTAGTACATTGCTGCTAAGAGTCTCTGTTCAGACCAGGACAAAATCTTCTTTAACTCACACTGAAAGCAGCATTTTAATACACATTTAAATCTGTACTAGGCAAAAGAGGTAAGTGCAACATGCATGAAGGGGTTTTTCCTTTCATTTTAGAACTCGTGTATGAGCTTTTGCCAAATAAAGCCATAAAATTGCTCTTTGTGCTTGTGTGTTGTGATAAGAGGGTGTCTGTGCAGGCAGATATGTAAGTGCAATTTCATGCCAAAATAAGTACCAGAAACGCACTGTCATCTGCATAAACACAACAACAGCTGCTCCACTCCAGCCGCCTCTGTGCAAGTGTGTTATTTTAAAATACTAAATGAAAATACGAAACAGGTGCGTTTGCAACAAAAGCCTTGGACCTGATGGAAATGATGCTGTGACTGCAATAGGGCTGCTTATTTGGTTACTGCACAAAGGCCTTAGACTCCTACTGTTACACTTGGAGCATCTGATTTCTGGTTAAAAGTCTACAACCTGACTCAGCAATATCTACCCTGCAATATCTATTGTCTAATTCTCCCTTTGTAAAATTGAAAAGCTTTTGCAAAGGTAAACTGATATTCAACAGGCTGCTAATTTGTACTTAAAAAGCAACAAGCATTTCAGATATTTTAAAGGCTAATATAGTTCTTATTAAAGATTTAGTATATTGTGGTTAATGAAGTTTAAATTTAACTATTCTACTTTCATAGTATTGTAAACAATGAGGTTACTAAGTGACTCAACAACAGATGTCAGATATTTTTAACATTATAACTTTGTCTCAGCTAAAAGTGATAAAAGCTAAATTCAAATCACCAGCCTAGTGTCAGACAGGAATTCAGTGCTAATGGTTTCCAACAGTTAGGCTTTGATATGCAGCCGTGTTGCACGGAAAAGCAATAATGATGATAAATACACAAAGAGAAAAGTGACATTATTTGGCCCTTGAACTGACCGATTGTACAGCAAAAGAAGTCAGTAGATGTTTAAGAGAAAAGTGACATTATTTGGCCCTTCAACTGACCGATTGTACAGCAAAATTAGTCAGTAGATATTCCTTGTTCTCAACTGGGTCTGTGGAGACAAACCAAGAGCAAGTTACTTACAGGATAAGAAACAGAGACAATGGAGAGACAGAGAAAATATGTATGTGACTACCTGAAGCAATGACAGACAGAATAATTATATGGATATTTATTTTGACCATGGGACTGACTTCATATTCCTCTGACTGACTGGATGGATAAATAAATGACCACCTGATGACCATTTATTATACAGTAGGTAAACAGGTGCTATAGTGAGAGGCACAGCGAATAAGAAAGACATAGGGAGGCTACACTGCAGACAGACAGTGAGATGCTGAAGAAAGGAGCGAGGCAGCAGATAAAAGAAGAGTGATGGAGACCATATCTCCAGGCAGCAACACAGGGAATTACTGTAATAGTTTTTGTCACTCCCCTTCTTTATCATCCCCTGTTCTTTCTCTTTCTGTCTATTCCTCTCTTCTTTGTCCCATTTCAAACATGCCTTTCACAGTGTGTCTTCTCTCAGAAGCATTTTAGAGGCTGATTCTGTTCATTTATCAGTATACGTGTGTGTGTGTGTGTGTGTGTCTGATAAAATTAATGAAATTCATATTCAATAAAATATAACTCCGTGTACTTTCTCATACTGACAAGACATACAAGGGTGAAGGCATTCATGTGGTGCTTCATTTCCTGATCGCACTGCATATAGAAATAATCTACTTTCTTTCTACTTCTGCTATATAAATAATGCAAACTCTGACTGATGCCATTTAAATGGCAATCTGGTATTTACAACTGTACATCACAAGAAAACTACAACATCATTTTTCTTCCTCTTTGTCTGTACACCAGTTCTGTAAGTGGCATCCATTACATTTTTTTTTCTTTTTTTAATAATTGAAAGGTTCAAAAGGGGTTAAGTCTGTACTGATAATTTAACTTCTACAGTGTCTATGATGTGTGTGTGTGTTGTCTGTCAGCTGCTGTTCAGAAGCAACTACAACATGGGGGTTGATCCGGTTCTTTGCCTGCTGATGTTATTTATCTTTATTCTACAAATTAAAGTCGGTGGTTGGATCGGAAGGTTTGAGCCTTGTTTTTTTAACTGCGCTAAGCTCATACTTACTCTGTGGGGATAGCCCCACTCTCCCGCTGTCAGTTAGTGTCTCTGTGTGTGTATGAATGTTCAAGTGTAACTTTTAGCTCACCTTCTCCATCATCCCAGAAGAGTGATCCTTGAGCAGTTCCATTGTCGCTTAGGGCAACAATAAGTCCTAGAGGATTCCTCCGACTGGAACGGAGGTAGATAGGGTTAACAGATTGCTTAAGGACAACATCTATTAAACCTGCTGCTGAGGACAAATACATTAACATTTCTGCTGTGGGGGGGTCCACCTGATGTCATTGCTGCTGCTAGAACACAGTCATAGATAACATTTAATTTGATCTGTGCCACTCATATATGGCGACCTACAGTTCTTCTCTATGGAGCAGGAGTCACTCTCAAACACAGCTGCAATACACACCAGTGTGTGCCCATTACCCCCTGGCACACTAATCCTACAGAATGCTGACCTGTAGCTGTGTGCTGTCATGACATGTGTGCACCTACCTGTAATATGTAGTGTTCTCTGGTTTCTGCCAGGGTAGGATATATCCTCCTCTGATATGAAGGTTAATATGGTGGAGGGGCGCTGACATGTTAACCATTTGACCTCGCACTCCAATATCTTCACCCTGATGGAAGCACCAAGAATATACTCAGATCTGTCTGTCTGTCTGTTCAGGTACACATTCAGAATTCTGTGTTTTGGAGATGCAAGCCAGGCAAATAACCCTGCCAGACTCACCCTGCCAGCTCCTTAAATACCATCTGTGACTTTATAAGAGTCTATTAAAATGAATGAATGTGTGGGTTTTTTTTCATACAGTTCCACACATTCATATCTAGGAGCTGCCAAGTGCAGCCACAGCCATCTAGGGTTGGCCTCCACACAGTCTCACTGGAAATGAAGTGCCTTGCTCAAGGGCTTCTTAGTGGCAGAGGACACTTCCAATTTTCTTACCCTGTCAAGTTATTCAAATGAACAAATGCCACAAAATAGCTTGTGTAACCTTACTGTGAAATTTTATGGATACGTAAATATCTGTAGCTGATAATGGAGGCTTGGTTGGCAACATTCTAACTAGATGAAAAATAGTTAGACATAGAGCGGTGCCGAAAACGTGCTGAAGCACTAAAATGAAATCTCTAACTAAACTGGCTTTTAGTCCAGCAACCACCACATGTGGTGTTCTGCATACTAAAGAGAAAGTAGTATAAAATCAGGTTAGCTTGCCAGCAATCAGGATAAAAAAATCCAAGCAGGTAATAACTAAATGATTTGATTAAGTGGTTCCATGTAAAGCTAGATCTGCGATGGTAGTACAAAAGATAAAACCGCGTCTGTGCTTACTCATGCAAGAGTGGTCTGACTACTGTGCTTCCTTTTGCATGAGCCTCATACATCAGTGTGTACAGGTAGGGCAGGAGGGTGTAACGGATATTCAGGACATCCCGGGATGCTTCGGCGAAGGTGGTATCCCAAGAAACAGGATCTTGTCTCTGACAGGAAAAGAATTTAATTGTAGACAGTACAGAGAGCTTAACCAAGATGGACAATCATTAAAAAATCTAAATTTGTGTTAAATAATGGTTTATTGTGTCAAATTTGTGTTTACACAGTCATGTGAAGATTTGGGTTTTTTTGAATTTGAAACTCTACCCCCATAGTTACTGTTTTCTTGATCCTGCATGAAATCTGAAAGCGTAGTTTTTTTATATACAATATTTCTTTCATATTAGGAATTTTGGAAACTATACCCTGAATCATTTAGTTTATCGGGTAATTCCAAGGTAGACTAACTGGTTTAGGGAATGCAAAACATCTAAATATCTGTACAGCTTGCACTGACCGACTGTATACATTTAGCTGGAGACAAGTGCTTAGGGTCTGAGTAAACAGATTCACTGTTTCAGTAAAGACATACAGTATCTGTAATGCTCTGACTTTTCTTAGTTACAAGTACAGATACTGTACAGACTGAATAGAGACCTCTGCAGAAAAAGAATATGGATGAATAATTTAAGATTCATCTGTAAAATAAAGTGCACATTTACACACAGCTGCATTTTTCTAATCGTGTCATTATGTTTGTAGTGTCGACTTTTTCCTGTTTGAATTTTGCAAAATGCTCGAAAATGAATAACTTCAGGCATGAAGAGGGACTGATAGCCAGACTACCTAATTTGTAGCATGCCATAAATATGGGCTGTGTGAATTTATAATGATAAATGACACCCAGATTATTGTGCCACACACTAGACTGACATTTACCTCATTTTAATTGGCAGCAACTGTATCATCCCCTTGAGAGACAAGGACAGAAAAAGAGGACACAGTGTACTGCCATTATGTAGATATGGGCCAATCTAAATGCATTAGCTCATTGTCTGGAATGGTAGCGAGGACAATAATTAGTCTGGTCAAGCTCACACACACTTACTGGGAATCATGAAAATTCTCAGCTGAAGCATGTCATAAACATATGCTCCTCTCTATGATACCATATGTGTTTGTGTCTTTGTGTGTATACCATTTGCTAATGACTTTTGGGGCGTCTAAGGCTTTGCGTCTCATTTTTTGGCACTAAACAGTGAAATTGCATGTGTTCATATTTACTCAGACGTCACAGTGAGGTTTTGCAGCTGAGAAGCAGAAGAAATGCGGCACTGCAGGAATTTTCATGTCTGGTTTCATGCAATATGTATTTTAAGACGTTCCCATTTAGGGAGGCAAAGGAGGAGAGAATGGAAATATATACGAATATCCTCAGCACCTGATTTACCACCGCAGTTCCCAGCGGGAACTGAGAATAAAGCTGGTGTAAAATTTGCAGCTCTGTTGTCAGTGTGGCAGCTGTTAGTCATCTCAGACCTCGTCTGAGTTAACATGTTTGAGGAGGGAGAGAGTGTTTGTAAATCGCATCACTAACCAGAGGAGAGTGTGAGGGGCTTTTGCAGGCTTTCAAGGTCCCACCACGCTTAAGTCAATGAACAAAATAACAGATGGTTTGGTGATGTTACATCAAGTTTCAGACCTATATCAGGCTTAGTTAATCATGAGTAATTTATGAAAACATTCCTTTAACTTTCTCTCAGTTTCTTGTTATGAGGATTAAGAGGTTTTGTAAATATTGCAACGGACAGCATGGTGCCACAGTGGTTAGCACTGTCACCTCACAGCAAGAAGGTTCCGGGTTTGAACCCTGGTCGATCGATGCCTGTTTTGTGCCAGGTACTCCGGCTTCCTCCCACAGTCCAAAGACATGCAAACTTAGGTCGATGGGAGTCTCTAAATTGCCTGTAGGAGTGAATATGGGTGTGTGTGATAGACTGGTGACCTGTACCAAGGTGTACCTTGCCTCTCACCCAATGTTAGCTGGGATTATAGATGGGACTGTCTATGTGGCTGTTCCTTCACATTGTGGCACACCAGGCCAAAGAAATACAAAGCAAAATACATATCTATGTCTGTGCTGGGATTTAATGCATCTATTCTGAAGTTGTATGGTAACTTAAAGGATCAAACTTTATTGCTGCTCTGGCACCTTGAAGCTGCAAGGACCATGTCTGCATATGAAACTGCACTCAGGCATGCCTTAGAGACCTGACTTAGAAAAGAATGTCACCAAACCTGCAGAAACTTTGCTGGGAGATAATGCACTAGTTAATTTGAAGATTTGAAGTCAGAAGCTGACAAATGGCATTCAGTGGAGCACTGTGCTCCTCACCGAGCATTCAGTCAAGGAAGTCTACTCAGTTTTGTTAAAAGCTTGATAGGCAAGTATCAGTACCGAAACCCTTCTCTCATATAAGTCTGTTTTGTGCCATGGTAACGTACAGATGTTTGCCCTCACAACTTGTGGTTTTAATTTCTCAAATAAAAGAGTTTGCTGTTTACTCTGTCATATCATTTTAAGTAAAATATCTTTGGATTTTAGCCCTGGTGGTCAGACAAAACAGGGACAGGGCTCTGGAAAATTGTGACAAACATTTTTCTGTATTTTTTGATGTTCTATAAACTTCACAGTTAATGAATAAAAAATTAACAGATTAATTGATAATAAACATAGTTGTTAATTACAGCTCTCCAATCAATAACATAGGGGACAGATGTACCACTGACCTATTCTCTGTTACTGCAGAAGTTAGGGTTATGGAACTTAAGTCAAATCATGACTCAATTTATGCCGACAATCCCTGAAAGAAATCAACGCGAAGTGTTGGATCACTCCAGAGATGTTTATCTGTGTAAAATAAAAACAACAGACAACACTATGCTAAAAATACCTGCCATTCATGGTTGTATTTTGTGAGCAAGGTCTAAGATGCTGGAGAGTGCCAGAAGGTGAAAGTACAATGCCTGTTGCAGGATTCTAAGTTAGCTTGATTTGTGTTGTGCCCAGAGTGAGGATGAAGAAAACTAATGGAAGTTGGAAAGACCCCCAAACCTTTCCTTAGAGCAGCCGAGCAAGTTTGAGGCAGGAATTTAGTGAAGGCAGCAGTGGCAAAATAGGCTTCCCCTATGGGCTTGGGAGTGTAATGCATAGGAAGTATACCACATTACTGGGTAATGTAACGCACATAAAGTACTGCTGTTGCTAGACAGCATAGATACTAGATCATGTTAGCTAGCTAGATACTTGAATTTTGAAGACACTGAATATTTTAATTGAATATTAAAAGAGCATTTGGCCTGTTTGTCACTTCTACATCTGCGTGGCTTGGCCAAGACCAGGTTATATCACTAGAAGTGTAGCATGGAGGATCATTACAATCCCTGCACATATCGACGTAACAGAAATAAGTTTACCTTAAGATTTCTGTACTATTTTGGCAGGCTGTACCTTTAACCCAACAAGTAGGCATGAAAGTACAGTTGTGCAACTTGTATTTAAAGCAAGATTACTTTGGGGTCATACAGCTGTTCACAAAAACATTTCTGGATATCAGCAGATGACATGTCTTCAAATGAAGTGTGATCAGAGAAGATGCTGATCTCACACAATCAGCATAAAAGTAAAAACTGTTCATAGGACAGGTATAGACCACACAACATAAAATACACTATAATGCTAATTCGTTCTAGTCCTATGTGCACTCATTAATTGCTTTACTGTTGAGGCTGTCAATAAATAAAGGTTACAATTACAAACAAGATAATCTCCTAAAAAGTTGGTTTTTACTTTTTAACCTTCACACACACAAATCCTGCATGACTTGACAGTTATACCACTGTCTGTTGAGTCCTCAAGGTAGCCTTTTCATCTGTAGAAAACCAGAGGAGGAACTGATGAAAAGATGCGAGCGTGGAGTGCGGAGACTGAGAGGCAGGCAGAGAATCCATCTTATGAATTCACCTAATTTATGACCACATTTATAAAGGCAAAGGGACTTGTAGCACACACTGATTGTAGACAGATATGTGTGTGTGCACATACTTACACACGCAGCTTCAAGGAAAAATGAGGTTATCTGAATGTTGTCGGCCCTTCTCATCTTTTCTGTCCTCTACATGGTCTTTCTCTTCATTTATCTGTCTGGAATCTACTCCCTCCCCCCAGCTCATAAAACCTTTTGAGTTTCTGCTTTGCATTGCAGAGCTCACATCAGAAACAGAAAATATATTTAGATGAACAATAATATGTCTCTTTGGGTGAATAATACACATGACTCCAGTATGACTGTGCTGCTGAAGCAAAGCTCGGTGGGAAATGTATCTTGTTTAATTAATTTTGCGTTGTTCTGATATGACTGTGGACACTGCAGTATACTCATGGTGCAGTGAAATTATTTCAAGGTCAATATTGAAAGTTGTCTGAGGGCGAAAGAAACACTAGGCGTGACAGAGCTCTGGGAATGACTCTGCAAAATCTCTCCTCTCTCTTTCTCTCCCCACTGTCTCTGACCTTGTGTACCCTCCGGTCTGGTTTCTGGTGTTAATACTTTGTTGTCCAATGCCTTGTTAAGTAGACTGGAGGTTAAAGTCACTAACTGTCTGATGACTGGGGATTTTATATGGCTGTGTGTGGGGAAAAATACAGTTTTACAGTAGGTTACATAAATAGTTGACCTTGATTTTCCTTTCTCCCATCACTCAGTCCTGGGTTGTTGTTTTTTTTTTATTCTTTTTACCAAGCACTCTCCCTCCAGGTGTTTCAAAATTGGTAAATGATTTATTCAACCTTGTCCTAGGTCTCACATCCTTATTACTACTCCATGTCGCCACCATTTAACTTGCTAAATTGCCATCTTGTTTTACTCCCTGCCAATTTTATTTCTCATCATGTTTTATTTTTCTCTGTCTCATAGCCTATGAACGTCCCTCCCCCTCCCTATTCCCTTTATCTGTGTTTGCTTGTCAGTACTTTTCCTCTTGATCCTTCTGTTCTTTTTCTCCTAATACTGTTAAAAAAATAAACAAACAAAAATGATTGGGGTGAATTAATGCATGCTATTGTACTGAGTAGGTTTTATATTTTTGAAACAAAAATAAGGATAAAGAAAACTCATGGTTTTAATTAGGTTGTATTCCATACTACTGCATTTTTCACCACACAAAAAGCAAAGAAGCCTGGGCTTTTTGGGTCCCCAGTGAAATTTTGTGTAATAGCAGTGTCCTTCTCCAGTTTGTCCAAAATGTAAGGCCATTTTCAGATGACAATAAGTTATTAATCTATTAATCTTTGTAGTAACAGAATATTGCTGTATATTATTGTAAGGTGATGTTAGGTAAAAAGCATTGCTTTCATTAGTCATGTTCTGTGTGGCTTTAGGTTCAGTAAGTTGAGTTTTGTTACCATGAGCTACCATGATCAGATCATATGAGCAGAGTGGAGCAGTGAGAATTTCCACTCCTCGCTCCACTCTCCAATGCAAAGCCACACCAAGTCTCTCCACTCATTATCACTGAGCATTCAACACAGATTGCATCCCATTCCACTGTGCCTGTTGGCTCCTGATGCTATTAGGTGTTGGGGGAAGTTCCTGGAGCAGGTCCCAGTTTTGCCACTAGGTGGTAACTGTCAGTACTGGACACAATTATGTTCTGGAAAATCCCTAAAAGCCCGATAGTTTGACAAAATTATTTATGGCAGCTTCTAGGTGGATCAAAAGAAAAATCAGAGGAGTGGGTTGTGATTTTGCTCCAGGGAGGAGCTGTAAAGGACACTATAAAACAGGAGCCTCAGGAAATTCAGTTCAATTGTTCCCTGGGGCCCCACTTGGTTTATTTGCCTGTTATTTTGAGGAGCACAAATAAACCTCAGACTTTAGAAGACTTGGGTGATTTTTTTTTTTTTTTTTTTCAAGAGTTTTTAAGAAATGTTCAGTTGTTTTGGAGAAGAGCCAAAGCCATTCTGGCTCAGGCTGGGATTTTTTCTCTGACATAACCTTAAAAATGTGTAAACTTAGCTGAGTTATACCTACTAAAAGCCCTATTCTGTTTGGTATTTTGACTTGATTGAATTTGTCATTAACAGGCCAATTTACAGAGCTTGAACCCTGAGTCTTTTTAGCTGAACCCCAAATATTTCACTATTTATTACATGTAACATTGCTTTTCTCCTCTTCTTTCATCAGCCCCTTTCAGTCATTGAAGAGTCAGTGGATCATTTTGTTCTGTATGCCACAAAATTTGGCAGATAATTTTATTTATTGTAGTATAAAGTGTGCCTTAGTGGCTTTAAAAAAAAATCATATTGGTTTTTGTTATTACTTTATTGTTCCACAAGGTACACCAGGTGAAACATTTCACTGCAGGGAAATACAATGGAAATTCAGTCAGATTACAGGCTATGATGAGTTTATTTTACTGTTTGAAATACAGCTTTGTTTTAATTAGTTTCATATGTGCTTAATGGCCACTATAATAGGTACACCTGTAGTGGCAAGTTGCACTGTTAACTTAGTTATCGTGTTATTATATTTAGTGTTGATACTGTTTACAGTACTGCATGTGACTCCAGCTAACATGAAGAAATGACTTGAATAATTTATTTAATACATATATTAAAAACATTAGTTTTATTCAGTAATACTATTTGTATGTTATACTACATTGTTGTAATAAGTACTGATCACATTTTTACAGTGTATTGGTAAAATACTAATACTGTTCTCCCATGATTCCCTCTCTTACTTTTTGTCACCCTTACTTTATCTTATCCTCTCAAATTGTCATTTTGTGCTGCCCTCTCCTGCAGTGTGTCAGATTTTTCTGTCAGTTTTCTCCATGTTTAAACACCCATTTGCAAGCTATTATTAAATGATTGGAATCATAGGGTGTATGTGTGTGCGGAGCGGGGGTTAGCTGGTGCGCGGTGGTACCCAGATCACCTTGAGAATTCAATTATATCCCCACACTATACCATCAAAAAAGCACCAGCACCAACACACACACAGACACACACAACTATGTCCTGTCTAGTATTGCAGACTCCAGTGCAGAGAAATTTCGCCCAGTGGGATCGATCTCTGGACGGGCATTATTGGATTTCTCAGATGTGTTCCAACGCTCTTAAAGGTCACTGCTAGAATGAATGCCACCAACACTACACCACCAAACAGGTCTATCTTTTTTGTGTGTTTATGTCCGTGTGTGTGTGTGTGCGTGTGTGTGTACACATGTCTTTCAATGTGAATAAATTTTAGTTCGATACCAAAGAACTTTTTGAGGGTTTTAGGTTTATGGTTAAAATTATGTTAGGGCAAGGGCTCAGAATAGGCATTTTGTTGTAACGGTTAAGGGTAGGGTAAAAGAGAGTAACACACTGCCACAGCTGTCAAACTGAAGTGTGAAGTCAAGATTTATGACGATTTATGACTCTAAGCACCGCCCAATTTTGGCACTTCGCTTCCGCCTAGATCAAAGGCTATCAACTTTTATTTCAAAACAATTCATTATAGGTTTGACAGAAAGTTTTCACTCATGTATGATTTTATAACAGCATTAAAGGATTTTATTAGGGTTTCCAGTGGGAATGGGACTGAGCAACAACCCACAAACTAGGGTTATTACATCAAAAGGATTTTATTACATTACTCTAATCCATGCCAAACACCTCCTATGTAAGTGAGCGAAATACAGGCAGAGAATATGGTTTAATAATCTGAAAGTAGCTAAAGTTATCAAATTAATGTTGTGAGGTAAAGTTTTTCTCCAACATGTAGCGATGTCGTGGTCGGTAAAACAGGAAGTATGTGAGTTTCATTACAAACTTGTAAACATGAATATCGCTAAAGTTTGAACCAAAAAAAATTGAGATATCTACATTAACTCACAGAAAAAGAAGATAAATGTGATACACATCTGGAAAATAAATTTTTAAAAAAGTTTAAAAAGGCATTTTTTTTCCCTCCACCTAATGTATGTTATGAGGTGGTGTCTGTGTCTGTGGTTACTTTCAAAGCCTAAAAAGTAAAAGTCATTTGGCCTGGAACTCTTGGGTCTGTGGGGACAACATGTTGTCCAAGGCTACTCTGCAGGCCTGGGCATGATTAAGTGCTGCATTGCACTGGTTCTGCATAGGACCACAGGGCATATTGTGGCCTGAATGGAGTGGTTGGTGAGCCACTGGCATGCCACCTGTGAAGCACCATGGAGCGGTGAAAGATCCTTACACTCGCTGCTGATTCTGCATAGGGATGATGGAAATATCGCTGTCCAAAAGGACCACCTGTGGATTGCTACAGCCTGAGGGAGAATGAGTCTGATGTACCTGTTTTTGTAGAATATTTTATGTGACTTGTTCTTCACCAACCTAAGGAAATTATTTATTTATTTTTTACTACTCGGACATGATTCACCCAGTGATCAAACAGGGCTACTGGCGAATGGAAAGGGTGGTTTTAAGTCTGTTTGTTTTTGTTGGACCTTCGCTGAAACTAGGATTTAATCTGTTTTCACGGCCTACTAGATGATGCGGTAAGTTTCGCCTTTTGTTAACATCTGCATGCTGCATGGGTGTTAAAAAATATAAAATTTTAAACCCAAAAATAAATATTTTCAGGAAGGAAATTGTATTTCGATGGGTTTGCAACCCAGCACATTTCTATGTGAGTGTTGTTCTCTTGTTTTGATTTCACTCACCCGGTTACCCTTGCCATTGTGGTTGCGTGAGTATGGATAGAAGGCACCAAGCTGCATCCAGCGAAGACACATTTCATACTCAGCTGCATTAAAGAACCCACATATGTCTGCCCCAGTCTGAAAGAGATGGACAAAGAAAGAGCCTGATGTGTGAGAGTGGACAGAAATGGACGGAAAGAAGATACATACTGTATGGGCATCGGTGTGCAGACTACAAAGAGCACCCTCCAACTACAGGAACTGCGGTGACACTATTTTTGTTGCAAGCATCATGTTTCTGAGGTGTCCTTGAGGAATTTGGTGCCAGAGTGAGAGATGTTGTTTGTGTATCTGACCCTGTGGCTGGACTGGGGAGCATGCAAATCATTTTCCATATAGGGATCAATAAGGTGTCACATTATGATTATTATTAGACTTGCTGAGGAGATGAGAACTGACAGAAGGACTAAGTGAGCCAGGAATAAAGACAAAGAGAGGGGCAAACAAGCAAAGACAGAGAAAGCAAGGAAAACAATGTAAAAATGTAACTTTCATTTAAGTCTACTCAGTTAATAAGAAATCTGCATAGGTCATGACATAGTAGTATAAGGCCTCTTGCTTGGATTAGGGCTTGTAATGATATGCTTTGCATTGTATCTCAAGATGCCCTTTGATCAAAGTATCTAGCAAACACAATAACATCACTCAGCCTGCTGTAATCTACTTAGACAGTACAAGGTCACATCAATAAGATTATGTTGTGTCAAAACCAAGCTCAGATGGCCACACTTACATAAGAGATGCCAAACAGACTGAACTCCATCATGCCTGTAGGACAAAGGAAAATGGGGAGTTATGTCAAATTAAGAATTAATTTTTCATTTATATGTTGCACAGCACACTGTCTTCTAATTAATGTCACAATATCGATACAGTTATAAGTATAACATTTTATTTGCTGTACATATGTTTACTATATGTTTATATTTGCATTATATATACCTATAATGGATGCCAATAGCTGGTTCCAGCTTGAAGTGTTATCTCCTAGCCAATGTCCAGCCCATTTTCCACTGGAGGGGTAAGTGGACCTGGTCACTACTACACCTCGTTTTTCTGTGACGGCTTGCAGCGCACTACACAGAGAGGAGAGACTCAGGGATATCTTACACATGGAAATTGCATACACATACAGTACATAAACTAACAACAAGCAGAATGTAAAGGTGCCTTCCTCCTAAATATAGCATGCTCATTTTAAAAGTGAATTAGCTTGTGCGTTTTTAAATTTAGCACTGTACAAACTAACAGTTCCCAAGCTAAAGCACCTGGGCTCAAGGCTCAGTGGTGCTGAGCCTCCCTAGGCTCTTCTGTAGCTGACTCTGCACTCTGGCCTACCTGTGATTTTACCACAAGGACCACTGAGGTTTCACATTAGTGGTTATTATCATAAATATTTGATGAGACTGTATTTCAGGGGCTAGTTGGGAGATATCAATTATGCATTTTCTGCGGCTGCATTTTCTTCCTAAAAATGCAATATGCAATGGTAACTCTCGCACTGCAGTACTTGCATTGGTTCCTAATCACCTACATCAAATTTGACTGTGTTCAGATTGTAGATGTCGGATTAGCATTAGCATGGTAATTTGTCTACTTCAAAATGCAGTCTGGTTCAGTAGGCAACACGAAAGCTTTTCTTTGGGATTGTGCACATCTGTAGTATAAAGTAATACCACCTATAATGCACACACCCAAAAATATAGAGGCTGACCTGCAAGAAAACAAACCAACCAACAGACATTAACACTTACTCATAGGTGGGCTGGGTGTGGGACCAGCCATAGATGTTATGAACGTCATAGTGCCTGACTCTCTTTCCATTACTGAGTATATGCTCGCTGTTCATGCACAAAGTCTTATGATTTAAGCCAAGATTTTTGGACTCCAGGGCTTTTGGAAGGGCACACAAACACACACACATAAACACAGAATCCTTTCAAGACACATCTCCTAATCTTGATTTCACATCTTATAATTTTAACCTGATTGCAACATGAAGAAAACAAAAAATAGAACATGTCTTACGTGGCATGTATGGAGGGTTCTCTAGAAGTGGATTACCAAGACAGGGTCCATCAACTGTGCCGTGGACAAAACTGGAAGGTTCATTCATGTCCTAAAAATAAAAAATTAGTGTAAATATGGAAGTGAAAATAAAATCATGTAGAATAAGAGCATAAATGCCATTTGTTCACAACTTTCTCTTTCAGATCACTCACAATCCAGAGGCCATCAAACTTCATGACATCATTGTAGAATTTCTTGATTTCTTGTTCCCACCACGTTCTTGTTGCAGTGCGGAAGAAATCAGGGAACGCAGTATAAGCCCTGTAGTTCTGGAAATGGGACAGTAAATGGTCTTATATGGTAAATTGTCTTATATAGTGCTTTTCTATACAATGACGCACATTCAAAATGCTTTAAACTATTGTCCCTTCACCCATTTGCACACACAAGCATTCAACACTCATGGGGTTCAGGGTTTTGCCCAAGCACACTTGGACTGAAGACACCGGGATTCAAACCACCAACCCTCCAGAGCCACAGCTGCCCCAAGTCACATGATCAGGAAATGAAATCTAAAAACTTTACCACATAATCACCACAAGAAAACCTCCATCAGTGGACTGAACGACTACAGACCTGTCGCCCTGACATCTGTAGTTATGAAGTCCTTTGAAAGACTAGTGCTGGCCCACCTGAAGGACACCGTAGACCCCCTGCTAGACCCCCTGCAGTTCGCCTACCGAGCAAACAGGTCAGTGGACGATGCAGTGAACATGGCACATGGCATTACATCCTGCAGCACCTCGACTCCCCAGGGACCTATGCACGGGCCTTCTTTGTAGATTTCAGCACGGCATTCAACACCATCATCCTGGGCATTCTCCACTCCAAACTGACCCCCCCCTCACACCCCGACACAACCTGTTTGAACTCCTCTCCTCTGGACGGCGTTACAGGTCGCTGTGCATTGAGACAACTGGGCACAAGGACAGTTTCTTTCCCCAGGCCATCACACTGATGAACACTTAACCCACGAAAGTATGATTGGACAGTAAGCCTTAGTGCAATACCTGTGTATATATACATTGTACAGATTACACAGACTCGTACAGGTCTCTAGTTTTAAGTACTCTATCTTTATCCCTTATCCCTATTTATCTCATTTCAACGAACATTCCTTGTTGTCTGCATTGTTTACTGTTTGTTTATTCTGCATTGTTTGCACTGTTTGTTGCTGTCAATATTGCTGTTAATACTGCTTATGTCCCTGGTAGGCTAGTGGTTAAGGCTAGTGGTTCAACCCGGGTTCAAATCAGGGTTGCATCAGGAAGGGCATCCGGCGTAAAACACGTGCCAAATGCAACATGCGAGTCATCAGTGTGACGATTCGCTGTGGCAACCCCTAAACGGGAAAAGCCAAAAGTGACTTTGTATTTTGTTATATTACACAGCCTTATGCTGGTTTACTGTTTGCACATTGAGAGCTGATGTACCTGAGTCAAATTCCTCGTGTGTCCATCACACCTGGCCAATAAAACTGATTCTGATTCTAATCTTGTCTGCTAGCAGCTGGAATGTTTAGACCAAACTCCTGATATGTCAGATGTTAGAAAGTACTGTGTATCAGCAAGGTGAGTATGGAAAATATTGTACCTTTACTTGGTACTCCCAGTCCTTAGATTCATCTACTGTGACATTGGGACGATCTGGCCAGACCTGCAAAAACAAAACAATACAAAGAGATTACTGATCATATCCCCGCACACCGTGCAACAGCCATTTCCTTCTGGTTTATTCCCATCTCCTCTTACCTTCCCCCACACAATTTCCTCACTGATGCTTTTGGGCCATTTGATGAAGACATCTGCTTCTTTACCATTCACAAAGGCAGGGTAATGATTAGTCTCATTACCTGAAATAGCTGGATCCTGGAATTAAATACACACAACTGTACAGTATTGTGTTTTTACATGGAGAGTGGCTATTGATTGGATAATTTAACATTCAGCCTTCACAAACATACAGTAAAGTTTAGACATCTTTAATATCTCTACATAATATTTATACCTGCCCTGTAGTTGGTGACCCTTCAGTCCCCAGTCCTGTGAATTTATCAATAGTTTGTGATATAATGTAATTACCAAAATGAAGATGAACCTCATGTGCTCTCCTCTCATGCGGTCAACCAGGGAAGGCAGATTTTCAAACTCTGAGTCCAGGACAAAGTCCAGCTGACGTTCCATGTAGTCAATGTCTGCATACTGCACATCCTGCAGGAGATGCCAATTGAAGCTGAAATTAACTGAAGTTACACTGATTTTATTTAATTAGAAATATCAAAACACAATGTGATAGCTTTAAAAAAAATGCATTTTGTTAGGGGTAGTCCTTTGAGAACTATTTGCTGCATATTCAGCTCCCAGAACTTCAGAGAGCTGGTACGCTATGAGTAATGAGAGTTGAATGAATTAATAACTGCTGTGAAAAAAAATTTAAAATCATAATTATGACTGATTTTTATTAAACTGCCACAGCCACGCCAGTTAACCGAAGCAGATCAAGAGATAAGAGCCAAAAGCAAATGGAAGTTTCACCTCCCTGCTCAGGAATTTGACATTATTGTAATAAAATGTACAATTGATTTTCTTAAAACTAAGTCAAGAAAATTGGTTTAAGGTTGGTTAGTTTGTAAAGCTGGCTGCTCTGTAGCGTTTTAAGTAGCTGCATATTCTGCTTCGTTCATTCCAGTTAATGCTACATGGTCTTTTTTTTTGGCTGACGTCAGCTCCTCACACAATGAAGAGGATGGGTCTCTGGCCTGTTGGGAAGTCTTGACAAAATGCTTTCACGAATAAATGTTATTCTGTTTTTTGTTACAAATTCGGTTCCTTATACTGTTTGGCAAACATGTTAATTCAATGTGAACATCAGATTTCACTGCTGGAGAGAATTACTGGTTCTACTACAAACTGGAAATGATGCTGTGAAACCTTGAAGGGATTTTAAATGAAATGAGAGGTCATGTGTTATTAGGTTCAACTATATATTCCCAACATAAACCATGAAGTCAATGTCTCTGTTTTCTCATTCAACAACCTTTTCTTTTTATCTAACTTACTAGGATGTAGATATTGTGTTCAATCATTTGTAAAACATACAATAGGTAGATACTGTGTTGGATTAAGCCAAGTCTATTCTGCTGAATGTGTGTACCGTTCAACGTATCAAGGCCGAGACTAAGCTACCAGATTGCATTTGTCCAGATTAGGGCAATGAAACATTTCCTTGTCCCAGAGCAATGAATGAATTAAATCAGCATTTTGGCAAAACAGGTAAATGTACTCAAATTCAATTGGATAAGACAGACAGTACAGTATGTGGGCAGTATCAGCACTGTGTGCTACTGTATAATATTCTTGTAGTGTAGATGGCATTTATGAAGTTGTCATACATGAGTTTTGATATTTTCTTCATCACATAAACTTGTCTTAAAAAGAAATAATGGAAAATGAATAAATAAATATCATCATAATCCATTGCTTCTAAATTATTAATTCTCATTTTACAGTTTCTTTAAAGACAATTGGCACTGAAGCTAAAACTGTGTTTGGTCCACTGAAACCTGAACCTTTGGATGGGAACATATAGTTTTGTTGTTGATAGTTTGTTTATTTTTGTAGTATTTTTGATTACTTACAATATTCTAGATTGCTGTTGTGTTTAATTCTGACATGTTAAAAAAGCTTCTTTGTATGGGAACTTACATAGGGTATACCCGCTGCCTTCATGCCTTCATATAGCTGTTCTATCTCCGTATCATTGGCATAACCATAGCGACAGAGCTGGAACCCAAGGGACCAATATGCAGGTAGAACAGGTCGTCCAATCAGCTGTTGAGACGAAAAACAAACTAGGAAGTCAAAACCGTTCACCACAGAAAATCGTTGCTTTGCAGAAAAACAGGACAGTGTCCATAAAATGTTTGTTTGATTTTGTGTGTGTGTGTTTAGATTGGCTAAATGAGAGAGCGCAGTGAAGCAAGGAACTCCCAGCTGTTGCAGTCTATCAACTGGGGCCCAGGGCCAGACACAAAACACACTCACACACAAACATAGGCACAGAGGCACACAGATGAATGCACACACAAAGAGACGAGAAGTCCAAGAAGACTTACTTCAGTGTATTCCTGCACCACCATCTCAGGTGTAGGTCCCAGGACCATATAGAAATCCAGAATGCCTCCCACAGTTCGGTAGGTTAAAGATGGAGTAGGCTGGAAAGTCACATCTGAACACAAAGCAAATGAGACATTTACAGTGGGTACGGAAAGTATTCAGACCCCCTTAAATTTTTCACTCTTTCTTATATTGCAGCCATATGCTAAAATCATTTAAGTTCATTTTTTTTCCTCATTAATGTACACACAGCACCCCATATTGACAGAAAAACACAGAATTTTTGACATTTTTGCAGTTTTATTAAAAAAGAAAAACTTAAATATCACTTGGTCATAAGTATTCAGACCCTTTGGGGGGGTCTGAATACTTTCTGTACCCACTGTATGTGCCTTAAACGTTTATATGGCATGGGCTGTACAGTATATGCACTATATGTGTGTATGTATTATCTCACTATGTGTTGTACATGCTTGCTTTAGAGGTTAAACAGTGAGCAAGCAGTGAAAGAAGGAAGGCCAGGATGGGAGAACAAGAAAACATAAAACATTATATTCTACGGTATGAACCTCTGAAAATTCACCTTCTGTAAATACTAAATTTGAACGCATTTAAAAGAAAAAATTTCTATTCTCTTCTTCATGAGGACAGCTGAATAAAGCCAGATATGACATGACAAATGAGAAATGTATGGGTACAACACCGAGCGTGTGTGATGCATGCTCATTTGTCTGTGTTTGAGTGTGTTTTACTGCTCAGTATGCAAATATATCAAACTAGAGATGAGTAGAAAGTACTCGTTGCACATTGTTGGTCTTATTTAAGACTCCCTGTTAAAGGACAAGTGATTAACACACAGAAAATAGCCTCACTCATTAATACATAAATGGTTACTGAACACTGATTGAGTGTGATTGTGTGTCTGTGTGAGTAACGGTGGTTGGTGGCATTTGCATATGTGCTGGAAATACATGTGTATGTACAAGCATGTGTGTAATTTTTCATATTTCATTGTGTTTCTCTCACCCATAGCATTGCTGTTTAGCAGCAGCACACCGTGAGCGTCGGCGGTGGTCTCAAGGCCCATATAGAAGGGATGCACTCCATAGCTATTCATCTTGTACTGTAGTAAAAACAGGAAGAATCAAAGGGAAAGTGTGAGATGGGTATACGTTTGCTCTGCTCTGTCTGTATCTGCTCTTTGCTTGGGTGAGGATAGAATTTGGTTTGCTTTGTATCAGAGCTGCAAAATATCAAAGAATCGTTGCATGTGTGTTTTAGGTTAGGTTAGGGTTGGAGAATGTTGTTGCTTATCACAGGACCCTGAAGGTTTATTACGACATGGCCTGATACCCCACTCTTTGGTGCCAAATAATGGTTTAACATCAATTGTGTATTATCAAGTCAAGATTTCTGTTTGCCATTTATGCCTAAACAGACAGTCAGGCATATAGGAATTCTTGTGCAGCTCTCTTTTGGAGTCAGGTAAGGAGTCAAGAGCCAGAAAGAACATTTAGTCTTAAAATAAAAAAGTTACATAAAGGCAACAAAGCATTAAAACCGCAATACACAAAAATAGAGTAATAGTATTTTCCCCAGTGAACTTCAAACATCGCACTTATCAACTGTCTGTAGTAATGTTTGCTTGTGTGCTATTATATTCACTCATGAGCATTTTTCTTTACACCTTACAGGGCGGTTCTCATTATATTTATAAGTTTGACAACAACTCTGCTACAGTAGGCTTGCTCCCGGTACTATCGATATTGAACTGTTCTCCCAAAATCAGGGGGAAATGTTCCTACAACTAGTCTTTATGCAAATGAACTTGCACTGAATATAACATTTCTTTAAAGACAGACATCATGTGTTAGTTATAGCATCAAATGGTGCCCACAAATCCCCCCCAAAAACTTAGGCTGTAAACTAGCCTAAGTATGGAGATCTCAAAAAAGAGCCAAAGAACGAGTTGGTTTTTGGGAGGGATTTGAGTGGCTGCTGGGTGCTATAACACAATCAGAAAGTCCTAAATGTAGCATACAGAACATTAAGCTAATGATAAAACTAGATTGCTGGATACATGTACCATACACATCTTAGCAGAGCTTTGGTGCATTATCAGAGATTTATGGTTTAGGGAGTCCGTCTAACCAATCTGCTTGTGGATGCTTGATTTAAGAAAAAAAAATAATTCTGTGATAATTTTAATGATTACATATTAAACAGGCCCGACAGACACTGATCTAGCCGATAAATATGAATTAAACCATGCTAGGGCAACACCACGGATGCCCACTAAGTCGCGAAGGCGAGATATCAAAATGTCATGGTCCACCATGTCAAAGGCGGCAGTCAAGTCCAGCAGGACAAGAATCACATACTCCCCTGCATCAGTGGCCAAATAAATATCATTAACAACCTTTAGTAAGGCTGACTCTGTACTATGCATGCATTTAAAACCAGACTGAAAAACCTCCAATAAATTATTGTCATCTAAAAATGATTTAACCTGCGCATAGACCACTTTTTCTAAAATCTTCGAGATAAAAGGTAGCTTAGAAATAGGCCTAAAATTACTCAATATGGATTGAGTAATTTGCATTTGCTTGTCCTGATTTTCTGCATTCACATAAATTACTGCACTTTACAAATTATTCATATTCTAATGAGAGTGAGTGTATCGCAGTGAGAACATCATGAGTGTTTCTCCTTCAAAGTTTATATGAAGATACAACTAAACAGCCCAGGCAGTGAGGGCAAGTTATAAAAGTGCCAGGGTACAGGAAATCTGACATTTTCAGCGACAAAAACTCATGGGCAAGTCACACTCTGTCAGTCTGCTGAATGTCTGGTTCAAAAGAAGCTGTTAAACTGTGATAAAATGGTTCTGTCTCTGTGATGTTGTTGTTTGGATGTGTGCTTTTCCTGCCGTATGCCTGTGTGTGTTCCTGTGGCTCTTCTACATTGGTGTGACGGCCTGACTCTAGAAGGCTAAAGGTTGTTAGCTCGTCCACCCACGCAATGACAGCTACTGACAGTGTTCTCTTGGTTCCTACAGTAACTGTCTGTCCTTCTTGATGCAGTATGGGTACATTTACTTGGGCTTTATATTCTGGCTATGGATACTTTTTTAACAAAGCGGGATTTAGCAATTTACTCAGTCTTATAAAAGTTCATATAAATATTCTCCTTTATGGTGCATACTTACTGACTGAAGATGCCTCCTCCACAATACAAAGTCCAAAGACATTCCCTCGACTATCAAGCATTCAATCTCAGACTATATCTCTTTTTCATGTGGCTGCATTTGTATAACTTTGTGGTTATGTCTGTGCAAATTTAAAGCAAAATTAACAACACAAAAGAATCATGATCAGCAGTGTTCTTGTAAGAGAGAATGTTAACCTCAGCCAATAACTCTTTAGATTTAGGTTATGATGGTTCCACTGCAAGGCCACACCTTTAAAAAATTGGCCATCCATATTTTTTCATTGTACTTGATAGTCCTGGAGGCATCTCATAAATGGTAAAGCGATGTGTGAGGGGAAAAAAAAAAAGAGTTTTATGTCTTTACGAGAATATTTGTGGCCCGTGCTATCCCTTCCCCTGACTTTCAACAGTGACATATTTCAGCTGTTTAACTGCCGAGATATGGTGGCCATTGAAAGCAGTGACAATAATGTAGATTGCCCCTCCTTCACTGACAGGCTGGTTTGAACTGCTAGTTTAACATTAGCTTAGAAAAAAATTCAGCAGATGCAGCAGAGGCAATGGAGACAGAATAGGGAATATGGATGAATGGTAGGGGGTGTCTAAATTTTTAGCCTCAGTATTAGTATTAGTAGCTGTTCTTTTCTTTGTATCCAGTCTCTCCATGTTTTTGCTAATTACAGTATTCAGTATTGCTGCCTTGTGGTCTGAAGGTGTGGTGTGTAGAGATTTAACAGATTTTTGGGGGGATACAAAGAATGACTGGATTTTCTTTGGGCAAAAAAGGTTAAATAGCTTTTGTTGTATTGAAAACTTTAGAATGGGACAAGCATCAGTTGATGTTTACAAAATCCTACAAACCCAAAAGAGTGGACTGAGTGTCACATTGTTCTTTAAATAACATGACTACAAGTTACAGTAGTTCTCACTTGTATATACTGTATTAATCTGCCTACCGATTACTCTATGATCTAATTGAGATTATACTACCTGTAATCAAGTTGTCATATCTGATTTAATATTAGTACATCAAAGACAGTGTTTATACAAAGTAGAGTGTGGATACTTGAACCGAGCCCGATGGGAACCATCAATGCTGAAGGTTTCAGGCTAGGTTTGGACAGAAATTTAGAAATTGCGTTCAGGTCTGGAATAAGTTTGGACACAAATCTGTCAAACTTTAGGCTAGACAGCTGGAGCACTCAAATGTCTGCTTCATTTAATGATAACACCATACAAACTCAACTGTGTCCAACTTGGATTGGGTTCAGACAATATACAGTGGGTACGTAAAGTATTCAAACCCCCTTAAATTTTTCACTCTTTGTTATATTGCAGCCATATGCTAAAATCATTTAAGTTCATTTTTTTCCTCATTAATGTACAGACAGCACCCCATATTGACAGAAAAACACAGAATTTTTGACATTTTTGCAGATTTATTAAAAAAGAAAAACTGAAATATCACATGGTCATAAGTATTCAGACCCTTTGCTGTGACACTCATATATTTAACCTAGGTGCTGTCCATTTCTTCTGATCATCCCAGAGATGGTTCTACACCTTCATTTGAGTCCAGCTGTGTTTGATTATACTGATTGGACATGATTAGGAAAGCCACACACCTGTCTATATAAGACCCTACAGCTCACAGTGCATGTCAGAGCAAATGAGAATCATGAGGTCAAAGGAACTGCCTGAAGAGCTCAGAGACAGAATTGTGGCAAGGCACAGATCTGGCCAAGGTTACAAAAAAATTTCTGCTGCACTTAAGGTTCCTAAGAGCACAGGGGCCTCCATAATCCTTAAATGGAAGACGTTTGGGACGACCAGAACCCTTCCTAGAGCTGGCCGTCCGGCCAAACTGAGCTATCGGGGGAGAAGAGCCTCGGTGAGAGAGGTACAGAAGAACCCAAAGATGACTGTGGCTGAACTCCAGAGATGCAGTCGGGAGATGGGAGAAAGTTGTAGAAAGTCAACCATCACTGCAGCCCCCC